TCGACTACTCATTCTTAAAGCAAATTCTCCTGAGAAGATCGAGTAGGAAACTCTAAGCGTTGCTCTTAGTAATTAAATATTTGTAGACATTAATCATCTACAATATTTATTTCAAATATCACAGATCGAGACAACTGGAAAAAGCCAAACGGGTCACTAACACTCAAAAGTCATTCATCCCCTGGTTTGCCACCCTTAGAGATGGAATATTTTCTTAAAATTTAAATGGGACCATTCCTGAGGTACCTTCTTTCCAACAAAAAAGAATGATAAAAATCGGTTCGCAAATGCCTTAATAAGTTATCGCGTAACATACGTACAAAAAACATACCGACTGTCGAATTGAGAACCTCCTCGTTTTTTTGAAGACGAATAAAAATGAAATAGGCTTTATTTGACGTACAAAATGCATACATTTCAAACAAAACAAAAAGTTACAAACATAAATTCAAAGAAAAAAAGTTAATAATATAGTACCTATAAAGTTATTGTTTCGCTGTTGTTATACACCTAGTAACCGCGTAAGTTTCGAATATCTACCGGAATCTTATTCTATAATAACCTATTATATCTATTACCGCTTACCTTCTACAAGGGACTACATTGGCCTTTTAAATGAATTTGTGACTTTGTATAGAGAAGAGTTATTAAAGGTCTTATTAAGTAATTGAACGATAATGTTAGTTGCGATGAACACAGGAACTCATTACTGACGGCGGCCTTGCAGAAAGGAAACAAAGTTTAAAGTTTCTAGCAACGTTTGCCTTTTCCTAAACAGTGGACGATCGCACGCGATTCTATAAACAACAATACAAAGATACAAAATTATTTTCGGCGTGCCCACAATAGTGTATTTAGAATAATGGCTGACGAGAATAAGGACGCTGCAAGTGCAACTAGTGGTAGTAGTGAAGAGACTAGACAAGTGAATATTGACGAGATTATTAGTAAGATGCAAGACGCCCCGACTGAGGTTATCTGTGACGTAAATATTCTTTAGTTGCGTATATAAACACAAACAAAACAAAACACGGCACAAAAATAACACAATACGAGACATGACATGCACAATAGATAAGTCAAATTGTGGATTAGAGCGGCGTAAATGTGCAGTTCGATTGTCACATATTTTCACTACAACTTGTAGTCTTGTTTTTTTCCCAGGCTGCGTTAAAATTTTAAAATGACATCCTTGTTTTCAATATTGTGTAAAAAGTCATAATGACCCTGTTAAAAATAAACACCGCATGCGAAATGATTACGAAGAGGAAAAGTGTATTGCCAATCATAATCTCGTTGAACTCTTTTGTACCAATCATAAATATCAAAAATATTCTACGCAATTAAAAACGATAATTTATTAATATAAATTAAAATTCTGTAATGTGTATTTAGGAGTACAAGGCATAAATTATAGGAAACCTTTATCACGGATGTCCTTGTTAAATGACCATTGTGAGCAATTATCTGTGAAAGTCAATGACGAATGAGACAGGATAAAGAATAATTAGAAATTTGTTGGTGGGTCTAAAAATTACTAAAATATGTACCTATTTATTATTATCATCGAGTTCTTCGGTTTTCGCGATTGTTACACATAGGATCCACATAGAAAATAGAACATTTTTCTATGATTTAAATCGCATTAAACTTTGGTTTGTTTCAAAAAACAAATGTACGCGATTTATAGTCTCATTTCCTATATCTTAAAACCTATTTACTTAAAAATAAATTTGCCCTTTTCCTTTTAACAGTTACATTGAATTGAACATATCCAGCGTACCTATGAACAAAGTTTGCAAGTTTACTGGTGGTATTGTGTTCTATATTATTTTGAAATATCCCCTCTTCCACAGATCAAAGGTCTCGACGCAAACCGCTATGCGACGAAGAAAACAGTCGCTCAGGGCATGCTGGACATTGCCCTGCTCACATCCAATGCATCCCAACTGAAGTATGTGCTACAAGTCGGGCCGAAACACGAATTCTATATGCTTCTGGTGGTGCTCATTTCTATATCTATCGTTTTGCAGGTGAGCTTAATTGTTTGCTTATTTCACATTTAGGTTAGAGGTTAATCGATCGGAAAATGACGCGGTAGTAATGCTTTTGTTCGATCGAGACAGAGTAAAAACGAATAAAAAAAAATAACCTGGATCTGGCACTTTTTTTCTGTACAAGCTGAATGCATTGGATGTCTTCGACGTGCTGTAGGTACAGATCAAGTCTAATACTTTAACTTGAGAGTCTTAAAATGTGCGTACTAGCAAGTACTTAATTTTAAAAGTACGTACTTTTTTCCTACAACATAAAATACTCAATTGACATTGGCGTATACACGATGAACTCTTTCTGTACGTACTTTAAAATGTAAAAATATAATGATCTGTAGTTACAATTTACAAGTGATACATCACTCGTAAATTTGATGATTATTTGATACATCAAATAATATGTAAACTACAATATCTTACATATGCTTCAGATTTATGTATAGACCTATTAAAATATGCATTTGAGAATTGGCTGCTTATAAATTACATGACTCGCCAATCAAAATGGATGGTATATTCTACATTGGCTGTACTGCTCGAATAATTGCTTTTTAAGAGTAATTAACTGATATGATTTGAGTAAATAATGTCAAAGTACAGACTTCAGGTTTCTCAAATTAAAATGTAACATGCTAAGCTCGTTGGCGTTAGTTGTGCGAAATTTTTGGCCTGAAGTTAGCGCCAGTGATTTTCTATGAGAATTTCATGCGATGTAGATAGATTTAAACACGTTTATTCTTGATTTGTCTCATTTAAAAGAAAGGTTTTTAACTTCTGACATGCAGATTTCTCCACGACTTCATATTCTTGTTTGACTTGTTTGAAATTGATTTCAGAACAGGAGATTTTGAATTGGAATACGTATTTTTATACAAATAGTCTTAATTGTTTTGTGGTCTTACTTTTCTATTACCTACGAAGGTGGCGATGGGCTTCATTCTACTAACTCTAAATCTACTCCGAGACTGCAGATTCCACATACCACAGCACCGTGACTCTGCATTGAACGTTAACCGTGGCACCACGATAGTTGCCTTTGTTGTCACAGTTCTTAACGTACTAGTTTCTGCTTTTGATAGCTCACTTGCGAGATATCAGGACATTATAGATTGAATGTGAAGTGAAATATCATAGTATAATAAGACAAGTTGTGTAACGTCATAAAAACATACTTAGGCTTGTTTGTGTGCACGCCCGAAGCGCGCTGTGCACGGACGCACACATTCGCATAATCTCGCGGTGCATTCGAGTTGCATAGTGCGGGTTGTCACACATACCATTCAAAACTTATAATAGAATTGAAGCGTTCGCTCGGTGTTTAAGAAATAACGTCAAATAATAGACGTGTTTATTGTTGTGTTTTAGGTTGTTTAAACATGATATGTCTCAAATTCAGAATTGTTCAGCATTTCATAACCATATTCGCACAATCAAAACACCAATCCACGATACTGGCATAAAAATATCTATACGTATTGCATTTAACAAAGGTTATTTCAATAAAACACGAGAAAACTGAGATGAACATATCAATTTTTTCAAATTCTTATATAACCTGTAGGTACAACTAAATAATGTGACAACCCTACGCTCCGAGTGAATCTACACTTCACTGCGGGCGGGAATTGTACTTGTCTTATTTATACTACTTGTATCTTAGATATATTCAGTAATAAGGTTGTCATTTATATCTAGTAGTTTTTAATGAAATTGTAAAGAAATATGAAGTTTAACAGAATAGACATAGATAATAGTAGCTTGTTACTTGTTATATTTAAGGTTTTCCTGTCTAGGTCAATCAATACTTCATAGACCTTGGAAAACCTATCATTTCAAGCCTATCCAACAACTTTATTCAGGTTATGCCTGAATTTTTAATCGCTCTAAGTTGATACTTCGGAGAAGAAATGACGTAAAAGCCAAAAATGAGTTTTTGACGCAGTTAAGTTAAATTTTCGTAGTCTTTTGATGAAGTTAATACTTAATTTCGACGCACAAATAGAGAAACTACAAACCACACCCAAACTCACGAGAGTAAAAAATATAGGTCATACAAATATTTCTCTGCGTGGCAGTCCGGCATGGTAACCGTTCGGCCAAGGAGGCAGTTTAGTAATGTGTAGTCGAAGTACACTCGAGTCGAAATAGTGTTTCTCGAAATTAAGTACTCCTTTTGATCCGCCTACTCATAAATTTATTATACGCAAAAAATGGCTTCTTTATAAAAATATACTTAAATTAATAAAGATATGACCCAGATAAGTAATAAGTATTTGTTTTTCAAGTGTCTATAATTTTTTTTCTATACGCCATTTCTTCTCCGAAATATCGACGAAAAATGTACCTGCGTTTACTTGAATAAGTACTATGTTATTACATCGACTTCTACCATGTGGCAATGACCATATAGAAGAAGTCGTTGTGACAGTTGAAAGAATTGAAGTGGCTCTATATTATTGTAGTAAAATTATTGATTGCCTGTGCGGGCGATTGATATAGGAAACTTAGTACTTATCGTAGAGTTAACGACGACGTGGAGTTTAAAACATCCACTATTGCTCTGCCAGGCTTACTTGCGTCTTGTGAAGACCAGCCCGAGGTAATTCTACACTGCAGCAACTACTTTCAGAAACTCACTTTGTAGAATCGAACTCCTATACTATAACGGCGTGTTTACACAGAGCCGACTGTTGCCTTCGGCAAACTACTTCGTGTCGCCGACTGAGGCGCACTCGACTCATTTACATCGAGTCGAATGCCGCCTGTTGGGTAAAGGAATTCGGCTGACGAAGGCGATGCTGTCGATGCGCCGTTTACACAACAATCGACTGCTGCCTTCATAAATACAAGTTTACGCACAAAGATATAACAAATAGTTGGAAAAATTGAACAAAGTCATCGGGTAAGAGGTATTCCCCGGCCCCCTGTACGCGAATCGAAGTGATACGTTGAAACTTCTTAGGTCGATGGTCGCTTGCCGAAGGTGATCGAGTCACTTGACAGTGATGACACCCCCTCGTAGCATGGCTTCACATGATAGTCGCGACGCGCGCGATAAAATTGGAATAAGCGAGCGGTATCGGGTGTCTCAATCAGATCTAATTTAGATAACCAATAGCGCGTGCTTATTTCGCTACCATCAAGCTTAGCCATGCTACGGGGGCTGGTCGATTCGATCGACGTCGCGTCGGTAGCGAACAATGGGAAGTGACTGCCTATTCAACAAGTTTTAACGTATTGACGGCCGCGTCGCACCACGTTGAGCGTGCTGGGGCCCGGCGATACCTACATACCTAATCAGTATGTTGAACGTTTAGAGCGAATAGTTGTATTTCTGTCCGTAAACTTGAATTTATAATGAATTGATGATATCGGCAAAGGCGGCAGTCGACTCGGTGTAAACAGCGCCTCCTTTGGCAAGGCGAAGTAGTCTGATGAAAGCAGTCGACTTTGTATAAATACGCCATTACACCTCCGCCGCCGACGACTTTGCTAAATTAGGACTTACATGAATCAAAACCAAAATACAATGTAGGTTGCATATTGTTCAATAAATTTTATTGTTTTAGCTTCTCGTGGGCCTAATGTTCGTCATAATCGGAGGACTGGATCTGAACGACGACGATGATCGACCGTCTGCAGTTGTTCTTAACGACGTTATAGTGATATTCATATTTGTCATTTCTGTTATAAACATGGTTATTTCCGCATTTGGAATAGAATATTCAAACAATCCGTTGGTATTGGATAGGTTAAATTATATAAATAGCGAATATTTGAAAAAAGGAAATGCCACAGTCCAATAGTCTAGCTGGATCAGTAATTTTGGAATCGTATTATTAATTACTCAATCTGTTTCTCTTGGATGGTTTGAAATGATAGAGTTATAATTCCATATGGTACTGCCTACCTGTTCAAGTCACTTTAAAATCCCAGTCATATTTGAATGTTCTTTATATCTTTCGAGAAATCTTTAAAAAGTTAAAATAAAATGAAAGTTGGTTTGTCAATATTTCTCCGTTTTGAAACAAATTTTGTTCCCTTGAAATATTGCTTGATTATGTGTGCTTATAAGATAACAGAATCTTTGGTTAATTTCAAACTTGTGTATACGTCACAGAGGTTAAAGCGGGGTTGTAATAAGGGTATTTTTCCACTACTGGGAGTGGCCCCAATTTTAGTGTGGACTAAAGTTCATACAAATTTGATGAAGTATATTAATGTACAAGTGGGAGGTTGTACAAATATTGGACGTTTACATCGGACTAGCCAGCTGTCGGTTCTCAGATCATAGTAGAGAGAAGTCCTTTTGGTACAAGCTATAACTTTAAATTACAACAACACCTATGCACCCCTTGCGAACATAACTCTGGAACCAACTTTTGAAACAATAAAATATATAATAAAACGGATAGACCAAAATAGACCATCAATAATCAACAAACCGTAACACAGACCGATAATTTGTAAGGATGCATTTATTGTACGCTTATCGGAAGGTTATAATTATGTTCATATCTTTTATTAAGTACTTAGTAGATAGAATTATAAGTCCTTAATCGATAAAGTGGTCGAGGATACGCCGTTATGGATTATTAAGGATACACTAATACAAACTTGCTGGAAGGAAATGGGAGGCAATTGAGAAATTAATCTTAACATATAAATATCGATTTCTTTTGTATTATATTAGGTATTTAATTATAATCCTAACAAAAAACAAATTTAGAATCATCTCTGAGTCCTCGCATACAGGTTTTGGACAACAATTATAGTGTAGTTATTAAAATCATTATTACTTAGGTACTATTAATCTTCCATTTCCATCACGCAGGCGAGCGCAGGAGTTTTGGCTCTTATCATTTCCTATATGGACGGAAAACACAACGAGAAACAAAAGAAGATTTCCGACTGGCTGTACCACACCTCGGTCGGTCTCATGACGGGCGTGGTCTTCTGTGACGTTATTAAAATGACTTTTGGACTCGATCCCGCTTTATCAGAACAAGACTTTTTGGGGAATAGAAACTCTAGTATTTTTAATTTCTTTAGTTGGAAGACCTAATTTGTAGGCAAAAGTATAAAAGAATTTTGTAATTTAATAAAATGGTAGACAATTACCTATCCCATTGTTTAGTATCGATTATAGTAACATTATCGAAGGCACTGACTGCAACTATAGGCATTAAAACCTGTTAGAGTCGGAGAGTTTCTGCTGTTCTTAGCTCCGAACTGTAATAAGTAGTATTCACAATACAGCCTCTGTTACTTGAAATTGCGTTTGTGACAAAGCTCAAAAAGCTAGAGAATAATGTTGAAAGCAATGAAATTAAAAAAAAATTACCTTTTTCTTGCGGTAAAAACCTACATTCCTAATCCACCTAAGAAAAAAATTCCTGAAATTATATCTATTTGCCAAGTTTTATTGAAATCGATAACCGGAAAATGCGTGAAATCTGATTCATCCCCTATACGAGGTGGAATATTTTCTTCAAATTTTAATGGAACCAATTTTGAGGTACCTTCTTTTCAACAAAAAAGAATCATCAAATCGGTTTACAAATGCCGCTTAGTTATCGCGTAACACATAAAAAAAGTCTAATTGAGAACCTCTTCCTTTTATTGAAATCGTTTAAAAAATAAAAATAGTGACAAATCACCATTTATGATTTATCGCGATTAAAGTTTTTGAAAAGATGTCACATGCGCCCTTTCAACTAACCTGTCCTACCTACCCTACCTACTACCTACAACCTACAACCTACAGTCCTCCTTGTCAAGTATTTAGGTAACTTTCGAGATATTGGCACCCGATTTTTTTTTTGTAAAATGTCAATTACTTACACTGATTTTGCATAACAGTAAAACTAAAACCAAATCAGATATTAAAAAAAATGATTAGAGGGGGTTGTAGATTGATTTTGTTTTGCTTTTCTTACTTATCTTTTAGATATGCGGAAATTGAAAATATGAGTGGCTAGGGTGTTTAAAAAATTAAATTAATTTGGATGAAATTAAATTGGATTGAATTGAATTAAATTGAATTGAATTGTTTTGAATTGAATTAAATTGGTTTTGTTTTGGGTTTTACGAGTGGCGTCTCTGTTCTATAGGGTCCTGGCAGTATACCAACGTCGCGGGTAGCCGCGTCTTTTATGCTGAGTGAGTGCCTTTTCACTGCCATGACTTCCAAGGGAGATACTAGTAGAATATATTACTATGTTACGTCTAAGTTAATGTCTGTGTTATGTGTCTGTGTATGTATTTGTCAAGGTGGTGAATAAAGATTTTATATGTCTGGATCTCGTTTAGCTGTTTCCAGATATGTTAATAACTCAATTTCGCTAAAAATGTTGATTAGGTTAGTGATAAGGAGGCAGAATAGATCAGGTTAAGGTCGAATTGATGAGGGGCTGCAAACAACATGTTCGACTCTGGAAATAAACACATAAGTCGTCCTACAGTGTATTTTTAAATACAAGTAATTACCTACATGGAGTTGTCTCTATAAGTAACAAAGCAAGGTTGTTATCTTACTTAGGATGCAATTTAATTGTGTGAAAATCTGGTCGTCTAAAGAATATAACGTCTAAGATAAGTCTCTGTCACGTGGGTAAAATTAATTGGCCTAAGCTTAAACAATGTTTGTTTGATCGAAAACTACTAAGCTATTTTGAAATTTGTATACTAAACGTCATTACCATGAGTCATTCCAATTTATAAAACCGGGAGAAACTTTTATTCAGTGATAATAATATTTTTGTATTCTGCCCTTTAAGAATAAAAATGCAAGATGACTCAATTTATGTGTCCGGAAGTATATTTATATAAGACACGACATGAAAACCAATGGATACTTAAAGTATACCTAGCCACAAAATTTTATGATACATGTGTAGAATTTACATTATTTTAGTTAGCACTATACTTAAACTTAGACTGTGTATATATTAATAGGTAGGTATGATCATAGATATTTCCTATATTTATCGGTATGATAATTAGGTAATCACCACAATTGTTTTTAATTACTTTTTCTCTTTAATTTAGCATTACTTCTATGTTTCTTTTCTTTCTTAAACTACACACATCAAAAGTGTCTAGGGATCAAGTGAATATTTTTGAAATAAAAATTATTTAAGCAATGTTTACCAAATCCAGTCTTCCAGGACGACTTCTTACTGTAATGCTTATGTTTTATTTAACCGCTTACCCCTATATTCAATAAAAATAAACTAAAATGGATGTTTTTGCAAATTGTGGGAAAAAAACTCAAATTAACGGCGTCAATTAAATGACAAAAAAATGGCGAAAATGATGATTTTGCTCATTTTTATTGTAAAGATAAGAAAATTAATAATCTGTATTTACAACATTAACACGAATCACACAATTACAGCGATTTGGCATGCTTAAGATGAGTTCATCAAAATCACTTTGAGGAATGGCCGCCCATGTGTTTTGTAACAAATCAAAATATTGTTGTAGAGTATGTACGGTATGCATACTCGGCACAGCTCTTCTTTGAAGCATATCCCATGCGTGCACAATTGGATTGAGGTCTGACGATTGAGCAGGCCACGGCAGAACGTTGATACGAGCTTCGGCAAGAATGCGTGTTACGACTCTAGCCGTGTGTGGACGTGCGTTGTCATGCATTAGTTGAAATGAATCACCAAACTGGCCTCGCAACGGGATGATAACATCTGAAACAATCCTCTCTGCGTAAACTTGAGCATTGAGGTTACCCCTGATCCAAATGAGATCGGTTCTTCCGCCGATCCAAATACCGGCCCATATCATTATTGTTCCCCCACCATATGGATGAACTTCCTGACAATATCTCAAACGTTCATGACGTCCAGATGTTCTCCAAACTCGAGTACGTCTTGTATCCAGTCTCATACCGAAGCGGGATTCATCCGAAAAGCACACATAGCGCCAGTCTTCTTCCTCCCAGTTTCTGTGTTCGCGAGCCCATCGTAAACGGGTCCTGCGATTGCAGGGTGCAATAGGTGGAACTCTGAGCGGCCTTCGGGATCGCAGACCCACTTCACGTAAACGATTTCGGATTGTTTGATCGCTTATTAGCAAGCCTGAGGAGCTGTGGAGCCTCGTAACCAACATCATGGCGGTCATGGTACGATTCCGTCGAGCAGTATTTTGGGTATACCGGTCCTGTCTGCGAGTCGTGATGCGAGATCGTCCTCCATGTCGCTCGGCCACGCTGCCCGTCATGCGATAGCGCGTCCAGAGGCGACTTATGACGCTCTGTGTAGTGTTAAGAGTGAAAGCCACAGCACGTTGCCTGGAACCAGCTTCCAACATTCCGACGGCTCGCATCATCACTTCTCGGGTTAAATGATGTCGTCTCTCCATAATAATGTAAATTGTTTCGGTTCCGATGCAGATATTGTAATGATTTTGTCAAAACGCTATAACTCATTTTTATACAAAACCACATTGACAATCGATTTTCTTCTTATTATCGAATTTTAAACAATATTCCTTATTTTAAATGTTAAAACTCACTAAAAAGTATCAATAGCGATACAAAAAAGTTAATATAATTAACCCTAATTGCAGCAATACTCTTAAACGTACTTGATCCCTAGACACTTTTGATGTGTGTATTTAGTTCTTTTTTTGCCTTGGCACTTCACGTTACATACCTTTTATTTGTATCGTATTGTAATTTATTTTTTTTATTGATTTTGTTTTGCTTTTTTACCTAGGTAATCTCAGCTATAGTCGCACTAGTGTTGTGCTGCATCTTCAACATCAACCGTCAAAATGATCAACGCCGCGCCGAGGTCTTGAACGACGTCAGTCTGGCTTTCAAAGTTGTCAGCATCACAGTCAACATTATCATTGGAGTTTTCTTTTCTATACAGATTGATAATTTTCCTGCTCTTACACAGGCTTAGTATCTATCAATGCACTTTTCTATAAAGCTTTAGATTGGTAAATTTAAAATGATTAGCATAGGACCACGTCCGAAGAATAATATTACTGGTGTTAAAAACTGTAATAAAGTTATTCAAAAGTGCTTGTAAATTTGAAATTCCAGAAATAAACATCAATGTTCTGAGAAGATTTATAGCCAGCTATATGCCTCGATTACTCAGCCTGTTGCTGATTCTAAAGATTCTAAAGCCAAGCTCACCCGGCACTATACGGAGGATATCCCGGACATCAGTCTTTACGAAATTAGAATGGCTCTGAAACAGCTAAAAAACAACAAGGCACCGGGTGAAGACGGAATTACACCCGAGCTCTGAAAGCGGGTGGAACACCGATACTAAGAGTCCTTCAAAGGCTCTTTAATTCAGTCTTGCTCGAAGATTCTACGCCAGAAGCGTGGAATAGAAGCGTGGTGATATTCTTCTTCAAAAAGGGAGATAACATCCTATTGAAGAATTACACGCCCATCTCGCTTCTAAGCCACATTTATAAGCTGTTTTCACTGTCATCACGAACCGTCTCGCGCGCAGATTCGATGACTTCCAGCCCCCCGAACAAGCCGATTTCCGGAAGAGCTTCAGTACCATAGACCACATCCACACGCTGCGGCAGGTTATACAGAAGACCGAGGAGTATAACCTGCCATTATGGACTACGAGAAAGCCTTTGATTCGATAGAGATTTGGGCGGTGCTACAGTCTCTACAACGGTGCCACATTGACTATCGATATATCGAAGTGTTGAAGTATTTGTACTGAAACGCCACTATGTCAGTTCGACTCCAGGACCAGTGCACAAGGTCTATCCAATTGCAAAGAGGAGTGCGACAGGGAGACGTCATTTCTCCGAAACTGTTCACCACTGAATTGGAATATGCCTTCAAGTTACTGAACTGGAAAGGACTCGGCATCAACATCAATGGAGAGTACATCACCCACCTTCGATTTGCAGACTATACCGTGGTCATGTCAGAATCGTTGGAAGAGCTTGGCATCGTGCTCGGTGACCTCAATAGAGTTTCTCAGCAGGTGGGTCTAAAAATGAACGTGGACAAAACGAAACTTATGCTGAATGTCGTACCCACCCATGTAACAGTGGGAACCTCTACTCTCGAAGTTGTTGACGAGTACGTCTACCTCGGACAAGCTGTCCAATTAGGAAGGGTCAACTTCGAGAAAGAGGTCAATCGTCGAATCCGATTCGGTTGGGCAGCTTTCGGGTAGCTCCGGGACGTCGTCCGCAATACCGCAGTCCTTGAAGACAAAAGTCTTCCTACGGTTCTGAGACGTGGTCACTTACTATGGGCCTCATAAAAAAGCTCAAAATCACTGAACGAGCTATGGAGCGAGCAATACTCGACATTTCTCTACGTGATCGTATCAGAATGATCGTATGAGGAGATCCGTAGAAGAACGAAAGTCACCGACATAGCTCGAAGGATTAGCAAGTTAAAGTGGCAGTGGGCAGGGTACATAGCTCGTAGAAGTGACGGCCGTTAGGGCAGAAAGGTTCTTGAATGGAGACCACGAACCGGAAGGCGTTTAGTGGGACCGTCCGTCCATCTAGTAGGGGGCCCCTACTAGATGGACGGATGACCTGGTAAGGGCGGCGGGTAACCAATGGATATCTTCCGGTTATTTTAACTTTTTTGTAAATTAATTAAAGGAAACTGGTAGGACAATTAATAAATACTTAGTGACCAATTAGTATATAATCATTATAACTATTAACAGTACATCCTATGATATTTACTTAAATTACATTCGCTCTGTACACCTGTATCTTGAACCTACTGATTGAAACTATCATTTTCATACGTACGTAAGGATGACAAATTTAGGTTTCTATAAAAGGGCATACGATAGACTTATTAACGTTATACTTACTTTAAGCCTTAGGTAAATAGGCAAAGTGTAAAATTGTGATCAATGATATTATGAGACGAATCTTTTTTTTAAGTAACTATAATAACTATAAATAGCTTGTATTTCACTTATTTATAAATAAAGTATGTAACTTATTCTAAGTCTTTTTATTATCCTACCTACAAATATATAATTCACAATATTAGAGATAATTATACAATAGACGATTGATAATTGCTAAGTAAAAACTCCACTCTAGTAGATGTTAATAGTTTACCTTGTTTTGAAGAATCATTATTAGTGCCGATTAAATGGTATTTTATCACGAAACGAGTGTTCCGTGTAGTGTCAAAATGTGTTTATTAATAGCAAAGCGAACGCTTTCGAAAATAAAATCAGAAAGAGAAGCTTCTTCTTACGTGTTAGCTTTATCTCGTTCTCGTATAACGTTTGAACGTTTCCTGTCATTTGCTAAGTGAAAGGTTTATTCACAGGGTATTATTTCGGAAACCGCAAAAACTTCGATCAATAATACTTGTTGATTGAAGTGCTTCAACTATCTTACTCAGTGTTTGGACGTCTTCCTGAGCTATATAAAGTTTCATAGAGTCTGTGTCATTAATTACGAGGTAGTTTATTGAGGTGGCTGAAACTCGTGAAACCGCAGATTTCGCGGAGGGTCAATAAAAAGAACGTCGAGGTTACGAATAATCGTACTGCCTCAAAACACTGAGATAACAAGTTTGCGTTCTACTTCGCCCTCGAATATTGTCTTCAGTTAGCTGTTCACCGCGTAGGTAATAAGACGTCATGGCTAGCGGAAGGATCGTTGTTTACGGAGGCCGAGGTGCGCTGGGAGCGGCTTGTGTCAACCATTTCAAGTCTGCAAACTGGTGGGTCGCGAACGTGGATCTTAACCCTAACGAGAATGCTGATGTGAACATAACAGTGCCGAAAGACGGTTCGTGGATACAACAAGAGCAACATGTGGTGAACGAGCTCGGCATCGCGCTCCAAGGCCAGAAAGTGAACGCGGTTATTTGCGTAGCCGGAGGCTGGGCTGGCGGAAACGCCGCTCAGGACCTCAGCAAACAAGCAGAATTAATGTGGAGACAATCTGTTTGGAGTTCCACTATTGCAGCTACCCTTGCAGCTACATACCTATCTCCAGGTGGTTTGATTGCTCTAACTGGAGCCAAAGCTGCATTAGAAGCTACCCCTGGCATGATTGGTTATGGTCTTGCCAAGGCTGCTGTTCATCAATTAACAAAGTCTCTTGGTGCCAAAGATTCGGGACTTCCAGAAAATTCTTTAGCAGTTGCTATCATGCCAGTAACATTAGATACAGAGATGAACAGAAAATGGATGCCAAAAGCAGACTTTAGCTCATGGACGCCACTGCCCTTCGTGGCTCAATTGTTCGACAAGTGGATCAAGGGTTCTGAACGCCCAGCCAGCGGCAGCTTAGTTGCGCTTGTCACTAAAAACAATGTCACTGAATTAATTGTCCAATAAATGACAATTTTAATCATCTGAGATCATGATATTGAATGTTAATAGATGTCTATTTAAAAATATTTAATATATTTTTTTAGAAATGCTGTCCATTTATATTAATTTGCATAGTAATTTTGTTGGCTTGTAAAGTGAATGATTATTGATAAGAAAATAATAATATCAGACAATAAGGGAACAATCTCATAATTTAAGAACAAATGTTTACGTAATCCACTATGATGTATGTGATATATGAAAAAATAAATGAATAAAAGTTTCAAACATTTATTTGTTTTTATCTCCTGAGTTAACCTGTATTGTAGATAACATAGTTCAACATTGATAGACATGCATACTAGTAGGTAAAGTCTAAGCTCCAGAACTTTGACTTTTTCGGGTGGGGGATAGTGTTTTTTTGTTGATGTAGTACTTTATACATTCATCACTTTATTACTGATTTAGTGAAGGTTACAGCAGTGACATACTATTTTTAAATTATCTGATATTTTTTCTTATAAATATGTTCGTTTTGATATCAGTACGTCGTAACAATACTTCACCAATTAAAAGTTTGTCTTATGTATTCACACGCAAGGTTAATACTTGAATTGCCGATTCACCAGATTTAAAAGTATGTCAATAATACTGCCCTCTCGTCATAACTACGCATTTCTATTTAATTTGTAATAAAAAATGACAATTAGCGCTAATTTTATTTAACGATAAAACTGAAACTAAATTAGTTATAAAAAAATCGATTAGAGATCCCAGACATGTTAATAACCATTTCGCTAAAAATGTCAATTACGTTATTTATATGATAAGAAGGGCAGAATAAAAACATTCGCTTGTTTTTTCGTTAAACTGGAACAATTCCGAAGCTTCGATTTTAAGAATAGTACTGTACACTACAACATTATAGACATTTTATAAGAAATACTTTCTTTTTATTTTACAAGGTACATACAAAACACAGTTTTTTCACGTAAAGTGCAATGAATTCTGTAATTTTGAATAAGATTTCTGATTATTATTTGTTAAGCCATGTATCAGAAATAATCAAATAAACTTGCTATCACATTAGTCAGCGAAAGTCTAAGATTTGCGCAAGTAACGTTTGTACATTTTTCAACATTACTAGTTGTATTGTAATAGTGTTAACGAATCAATAAGCTATTTTAAACGACAAAAATAAAATAACATACAATAATTATTAACATAAAGTGGTTTCCCCATGAGCAATTTCGCTAAGGAAAATCACCTGCGGTTTAATAATTTTCGAAGAATCTATCAGTCGAGCTTAATAACTATAGACTATAAACATTTGGTTGTTCTTTGTATTACTTATTGATAAGTTATTATTATTATAGACACGAAAAGTGGACGAGGATATGACGACATTTTTAACTTAAAGTAAGTACAATTCGGTCGATTCTTTGGTTTAAAATTTTAAGTTTTACTCTAATTCTAACTTAATACTTCCCAACAGCGGTCGTATTTCTGAAGGTACAGCAATGGTCACTGCGTTAGCAGTAAATGTTTCTTCCTGTTGAGGTTGTGGTTGTCCCTGTAAAGCCTGTATTCTCTGTTCTTTTAGAACCCTTTGTATAATTTCTTGACTTTCTAAAGCGTAAATCAATGGCAAAGACTTTAATTGTAAAGCAACGTTTCTTCCAAATGCATCGAACTCATCTTCTTCAATAACTTTTGGCGAATTTCGTACAGTTTCTACGTTCGTAGGAAACGGTGGAAGCGAATGATGACTCACGTGGTGTGTCTCCTGGAGTATAGGACGATGCTGCCCATTCGTTACTTCTGTAAGATTAACGACGGGTTCCATAATGTTATGATGGAAATCAGTCACATTGTCAGAACTGTAATTGTTCGAAATACTTTCTACTTCTGGAAGCCTGGTAATTGTTATGCTCTCATTTTCTGGTACCTTAGTGATTGTGATACTATTGCTATCTGATTGCGTCGACACCTGTAAAGGCGAATTATAAGGATTTAAAAATGTAATAAATATTTATTAAATATAATACTTATTAAAGTCGTAAAATATTTATTACTTATTCTAAATGTTTCGCTACCTCGAATTTCGATGGGCTTTGCTAAGACGTTTGCCGGCTAATGCGCATGTGCAAAAACATAATCATACGTATGCTTACCATACTCGTAGGTTCGCAGCGCACATGGCTCGTTTCTTCCGACTGCTTCAGGAACATCATTGACTCGTACCACTGCAGCCTGGGAAAATAATTACTCCCCATTATTTTAGCCTCTTCAATTTTCTTATTTTCATTTATAAAAGTGTTCCTTAGCGACCTGATTTTCTCTCTCACAGCTTTCACGGTCATGTGTACGTTTAAGGTTCTGGCCATTTCATATATTAGGTTGCTGTAAGCTACATCGCGAGCTTCTTTGTTTTTGTATAGTCCATGCTTGATGTTCCAAAGACACTGGTGTCGTTTGTATACTTCGATGAACTTGGCTGTTGTTTTATTAGTCCATTTGTCGGTCATTTTTGAGTGGAAACGTATTAAATGAAGGATACATTGGTATGCAGCTATGCAAGCTGAGTAATTGTAAGGACGCGTTGCGCGCAACTGGCGTGGAGTGAGAGTGGCGCAGGTTGGCAACTTGCACGCAAGCGAATTATTGCCCCGCGTGCGTTGACTTGCGCGCGCCGTGACGTCGCGCAAATACGTCATCGAGATGCAATAAATTGCAATATGGACTGTGTTCAGTCAGATCAATACGTATTTAAAATTACCATAATGTTTAAATTAATATTAACAACATTGTATGGAGAAATCTATATTTAATTATAATTCATAAATCCTTCTCGTATAATGTAGAATGTCAATGCGTAAACGAAGTTTTGTGATTTTCGACGATGGATGTGTGTCATGATATTTTTCCAACTCGTGCCTACACAAGATTTAATGGACGCGAGGGCGTGATTTTGCACTAATCGATTTTATTACTTCGTGCGAACTTCGGCCCTCTTCGGAACTCTTTCTAGGAATGATAGCTGCCCTAGATTTGCAAATAGTGCTATGTATACTTAAGAGTTAAGTTACAATACGTTGTAACTTAACTTTCAATTGTTTTTAACGAAGAATCTAAAATTTTCTGATGCTCGTCCACAAATAATTCAAATTTCTCCTTAACTTATTGGGGTAAGGTTGATTTTAATTAGATGTTCTTTTTGGACTTATAGAAAGCTCAAATCAGTGACCATCAGATTGACGTGAGTGTACGTAACATTAATTTTCAATAAAAATACGAGAACGCTTCAAAAATGTCTGGGTTTCCGTTGTTTGTTATTAATTAATAAACAAAAAAGTGAAACCGTCAGTTCTCTTTATCGATTTCGTCGCCAGTCGCAAAAAGAGGGAGAACGCATAACACTGGTGTCAAGTTGACTTACATGACGAGGGGTGGGGTTGTTATACAATTTTACAATCTACTACGAAGTCAATATGGTACATATAGGATTTAAAATTATGTAACAAATACGTTAAATCGCCTGCTATAGCTTTCTACCGCTCCTCGTCATGGTGACACTTTTTTGGTCTTATTGTAATTCAGCTGAATCTATCTATAATAATGAAGTTAAGCGTCTAGACTACTTTCACTTTTGGCCAAATCATAAAGTGGTATGGTCACGTTCCTGTTAAAAGTAATCTACCAAACACGTTAATGTGGTATGATCGTAACTGTTTATTTACTAAGTAAATAACTTTTTGGGATTTATTATTTTTATACGAAAGGTTAGAGCAGAAATAGGTAAAGCAATAAAGCTCAAACAGTTATATGTTTCTCTTTCTCAGTAATTTTCAGGCAAGTTTTTTGTGCTCAATTTTGGTGACAATTTTTATTATTTAATGACGCTAATATATCAACGTGAAATATTCAAGAACATTTCAGGTTACCACACTCGAATATTAAATAATACTTCATGTTGATATTCTATAAGTATTTAAATAAAAATAAATTGTCTCCAAAATTGAGTACAAAAAAACTTACCTAAAATTACCCTCCTACAAATTAAACCTAAAACCCAAAAAGTGTTTCTCCTTACGATTTCAACATTTTATTTAAATTTTAATATTTTAGTCAAAACGCTTTTTATGAGAACCGTTTGAAAGACTCGATGTATTCGATTATGCTCATTTCATCATCATCTTTATGGTAATTGAAAAGTGTAAAGCGTGTGTTATATCTCAAGTGCTATTAAAGTTATATATTGCCAGTGTAATATTTTTTCTTTCCTATATCTTTCGTAACAGTGAGTACCTACTTTCTGGAACGATACGTAAATAATAGAAATTGAACAAAATAATTTTCGATTTTCATAACGGTGCATAATGTCTTTAAATGAGTTTGCTATTAAATTTTACACAGGCGTCTTATTGAAGAACTTTAAAGGACTTGTGTCTGCAGCTTAAATTGACAGCAGCCAATACGAACATTGGTGACAAATGTCAGGACCAATGCTATTATTTCAGGGTCAAAGACTGGTAGACCTTAAATCATCAGACTGGTGTAGGACCAGGGCTGCTTCCACTTGCGTCTGCTCTAGAGGTGGGTGATAAATAATGTCACGATGAAAAAAACACAGTGATCAGCCGTCAAATACGTGACTTTTTACGAAGGAGCGATGTTCCAAAATCACATAGGTTGTTTCTCCGTTCCACTATGTCTCCATCGCTCACGTCACTACATATTTTACAAACAAAATCATGGTCGATCTCCGTTCTATAGAGACTGGGACTGCGCAATTCTTTGTAGTTTGTTTTTATGTTTAAATTCGAATTATGAACCAAGATATAACTACATCAGTGTAAATATTGTAAATACAAAATTGATTAAAAATAATAAACATGCCATGGTCTTATTAACGAATAATGCGACAAGACTGTAAAACCATGAAGGTTATTGCGGATTAGTTTTCTAAATGAAATCAAACGTTACATTAAAGTGAGTATAAGACTATTAGACGGTAGCCGCTTGCCAAAACCGTTTATCGTGATTGAAGCGACAGGCGTGACAAAATCAGGGTGATTTGTTACAGTGATTTTTTTGTAACTGATACGGTAGTCACGGTGATAGAAATGTAACACTTTTCCTCATGTCTAGTGTGCTCTGAGCTATTAGCATGCAATATTATCCTGTGACTCCGCGATGACGATGCTTCTTGTGATTGGTCGACCAACGATTTTGCTTAGGGTTGTCGTTTAACATTCCAATAGCACATAACTCTACCTTCTATCTTCTACTTTGGTTCGCGCAGAACAGATGTTTGGATTACTTTCAAAAAACGAACACCAAAGTTTGTCATCAATTGACCATGCGACTTCTTCCCTCCAAGGCCTGCAAAGTAAGTATGAAAATCCATTACTGTCTTCTTCTCTACTTTTAAATCTACCTACTAATAATGAACTATGCGAACAGGCAAAAGAAAAACTCATACAGCCAACTGCCCAGTGTTCGTAACTGCGAGAATTAACAATACCTACCTGTAAGTACTGGTTACATAAAAAAAAGAAAATGGCGGAAACACTAAAATTTAAAGTAACGTGTTTTGGTATTCTTTTGCTTTTTCGTCTTTTATGTATTTTGGTCGCGAAAATGAATGCTAGTGAGAAGAGCGATAATGAAAATACAGTAATAGATACACATTAAAACACATCATCAGAAGTTCAGCGGAATATTATTAATGTGCCTGGAAAAACAATACCATTTTCTTTTAGCAATTGTCGTAACACGTCAAATATTACTTTTAATATTTTTTTTTACTATTATACATCTTCCTCTCTTTAGTCTTTTATTATTTCCTTGACTTAGCAACAGATTGCTTGCTCATATTAATATAATAATATCAATTCAATAAAAATTTAATTAATACAGTGAATAGCGACATCTTTTGCCAGGACTGGTAGCTGCAAAGGTACTAACTGGGTGATAAATCTTTCATAGATTTCTCATAGATG